AAATTGTACGAGGTAGATAATCCTGTAGTAATTATACCCGGATGTTAGAAGACTCAAGTAGTAGGTACTTGTTTGAATAGCAAAATTATCATATTATAAAAGTACATACTGGAATGGAATATGTGTCTTGATATATTTTAGTAAGAAATATGCTACAGAAAAGATTTCATTTGATCCTTATTTGGATAATTTAAGTTGCATGTTCTACTAGTTATGAGTATTGGTTGAATGAAACTTTAAAGGTATGCAATGCGATCGTAAGTTTATGTTTACATATTACGGAGTAGTATAAGAATCATCATTAAAGCATTTGTATTATTTTTAGAGTGTCAGTGCTTTTGTGTACATATGTGTACGCAGTACATTAATGATTATTTCACCTTGCACTCCATAGTTTGGATCGTAATTAGCCATCCAGGTGTTTTTATTTAAATATAATCTGAAAATATTTTATTAGTTATATTTATAGCATTTATAGTAATGGCTATTAATTATTTATTTTTCTATTAGTTACACAATAGGTTAAGCTATGTTTTTGCCAAACAAATCCCGTATTCTATATTATATTAATTAAGTTATTGTTTTGTATTATTCCACACAATATTACTAGCTATAATTATATTGTTATAATAGGTAATTCAAATTCCAACGTACCGTGAATACGTGTAAATAGGTTTATACTTTAAAATATAAATAGTTAAAAATAATCTCAGTATAATAAATATTTCATAGTGTTAAGTATAAATAATATTCATAGTGTTTATACGTTATAACTTATAAGTAACAACGTATAATATATTGTTAAGTTACAAAAAAAATAATTAAAAATATTAATTTTTCATATTTTAAGCATACAATCATGAACATTTGAACTTGAAATGGCCAAAGAAAAATGTATGTGTTTGAGATTTTTAAGTTTCTGAGAGAGAAACGTATGAGCAATCTTGAATCTTAAAGTTTTAATTATTAAAATAAAAAATTTTAATATTTTTAACCGGAAAATAATTTGAAAATCATTACGAATTTACTCAAAATTATCTAATCAAATTTTTATAAAAAAATTATTCATACATTAAAGAAATGTTTAAATCACTATTATTACAATTTACGACGAACCTTGAATTGATAAATTGATTATAATATAATGTTTTATTTTTATATGTACTTGATGATGCTCACATTTTAAATTTGTTTTATTCATAATTTATTTTTTAAATTTAAAAACAAAGTTAATTTAAAGTTTTCATAGCATCTAATATGTATACAATATTTAATGACGCAGTGAAAATCAGAAAATAAAATTATTGATTTTCGATAAAGTTTCGTTCTTATGTAAACATAAGAGAAATGTCAAATTATTTTTTAACACGCGCACTGGTTTATCGCTTAACAACACTAAGTTTATAGAAATAATAATATAGTTATTATTTTTAAATTTTTCAATTAAAAAAAAAAAAAAAAACTAGATCAAGCTAAAGTTATTTTTATGTAGACTGTAATAAAGATAATATTATTGTCATTTAAGAGTAGGTTTCATAATTAGATGTTTTAATCATTGTAATAAAATAGTGGTTATAACTTATGATAATGGAAATTGAATGCTTTGACAGCCTATATAACAAAAAATATATTTTTTTTTTTTTTTTAATGTAAATAAAAAAATATTTATTATCTGTTATATTTTTATACATTAAGTAAATTTGGTAGCAAAAGATAACGATAACATGAATAACGTGAGAAACGAGGCTCATCAGTGTGAAAACCCTCCATGGCAAAATATTTTAATACATAATATTATTATTATTAATTATTTATATTTGTATTAGTAGTACGGTAGGTAGGTTGATTTACAAAATAAAAGTTTACGTTTTTATCGATTTACGAGTATTTTTGTATTTTGTAGGTATGATTTAATTTTTAAATATATGTTTTTAAATAAGTTGATGGCAATCTTTAGTAAACATTTTATAGTACTAATTAAAGTATTAATTATTTAATTGTACTTCGCTCATAATTGTTTTTTAAACAATCGCTATTCTGACTCACGTTAAACAAATCACAAAATATGCCCATTGTTTTTAATAAATGCTCGCCACAGGACTATACTTAATTTAATTGTAGCTTATATAATTATTTAACTAATAAAAAGTAAATTAGTTTATTCTCTTTTATTATAATATACAAATAATATTGTTGTTATCTATAAGCAATAGCCAATCAACATATTAAATGATTTGAAATAAGTCAAAATAAGTTGGAGTAAAAATAATATGAAAATACAATAATTTATGAAATTTGATATTATATCAGATACTCTTTAAAAGAAAAATACCTATTTAAATTACTTCACTTCAGATTTACGTTTGGTATTAATTGTATATTCATTATACGGACATATTGTTGCATATTAATTTGTTTAATCTAAATTGGTAAATATCGATCATATTATAAATGATATTTTTAAAAGTAACTCGACTTATAACTTTACTGTAAAATGCTAAATAATGTGCTTTATAGGATATTAAATTTATTAAGCACGATCGCTTGAATACACGCAATTGTGATATAAACAAGTATAATAATAATATTGTGCAGCAAGTACTACGCATCGTAACTAACTTTGAAAACAAATAAATACACTATATAATTTAATTATTAAGGTTTTTATCATGTATCTATGAAACATATTAAAACAACATAAATTAAATCGATTAAGGGCTTTTTAAAGAGAAAAATACTAACGAATCCCATACGTACAGATTCAATGCTTTAAAAAAAAAAAAAAAAAAAAATAGGGAATAAACAATAATAAACGGCTAACCAGAAAACAAACTCATATAAAAGAGTGTCACAAGTTAATTATTTATATTATTGAGAATATTTAGGGCGTATGGTATGTACAATATTGCCTACTATACATATTATAGTAAATCATACTTTACTTGAATGTCAACAAAATAATAGAGATTATATCTTAAATAAAAGTTTAAAATAGAATAGTGTTATAGAAGGATTTTGAAATCATGAACCCTAAATATATTATTGTTATCAGTCATATTAATCTAACGAAAACATAAAGGATATTATAATAATTAATTTTAGATCTAGTTAATTAATTATAAATGATTGGGTTTTATAATGCATGTTTTAAAGTTAATTTTTCATAAATAAATTAATTTGAGGCAAAATTTAATGATTATTGGTTTTTATTTATTTTTAATTAAAACATATGATATATTTAGTTATAGAATTTCTTTAGTATACAATTTAATTATTAATATAGATACACTATTTTATGTTTTATAACCTTTAAATTGATAGTATATTTGGAATAGCATAATATAATCCATATTGATTTACTATAAACACATATATTCAAAACATATTATTCGGTTTGATGGACGAATGAACAAGTTCAATAAGTACTTATACTAAATTTAAGTAGTTATGGTTTATCGTAAAATTTGAACAAAAACTATTACAAGGGTATACCTAGAAATAAGATAAAAACATTATTAACCTATACAGGTTCAATAATAATATTGTTATGAGAAACATAATATTGTATTTGATCATGAAATGCATTTTAAACGAATTTTATATTTTGCTGTTTTGAGTATACTGTTGGGTATGCTTAAAGTTTAAATTGTTTTATTAATTTTTATTTGTTATATATTATGTAATCGATGAATAGCGTATTGAATATATAAATAAAAACTTAAAACATATAAAAAAGAAATTAACTTTTAGATTATTAATAAATTATTACCGCTACGAAATTAAAAACACGTGATAAAGTTTTTATGACAAAAACTTTTTTGTTAATATTTTCAAAAATTTAGTATATTATGCTGTTACACCATGGGAATCTTAAAAATCTTTCTGTAAAAGTTAAATGTAATATACAATTATCTTGATGAAGGTATTTTTATTTTTATAAATTTATTTTAAATAATAAGTCACGACTTAAACATTCTAAAAATTATTGTGTTTTTTAACTGAAAAATCATTAGAATTGACTGTTTATAATGAAAACAGAATAAAAACTGTATAGGAAATTATTAATTTGACGTTTGAGAAACTTTGCTCAGTAAACTTTACAACGAAACATTGACGTGTGATAGGCGTATCGACGATATAGCCAATTATGTGGTTGGTAAACGATTGCAAAAAAGTAATAGTATTTCACGTATACGTACTAAAGCTTTTACTTGCACCTATTTTTATATTAAATAGTCCCTATACTCTAGAACAGGGGGACAAAAAAAAAAAAAAAAAAACCCATAAAATATCACTACGTTTCGAGACGGAGTACAATCCAAAAATACGTACATTGTTTTTCAGTATCATTCAAACGATGGTTGGTTAAAGTCGATGATTTCCACCAAACGTATTATGTTATATTTATATGGCTAGTGTTCTAAGCGTATTGTTATTGTTTAAAAGGCCTGAGGAGGACAAACAGCTGTCAAGCGACGGACTTTATTTGCAAAAACGCAATAATTTATCGCGTGGGATGTGATAATATTATGTTCGCCGGTGGAAAGTAAAAATGTTTATTTTTAACGTAGCGTATAATAATGAAACGCCGAACGTGTCAAACCGATTGCGTAAGTTCCACAGTCGTCGACGTCGCCTGTTTTCGGGTGACGAACGATGGAATCGCGAACGTGGCGGACAGGGGCCCGATGTGGGAACGCGCGACGGAGGCTGTGGACGCGGAGTTCTGGCGACGGGACGTCTCGGGGTTTTTTCCTGGGTAATCGGGGAATTTCGGCAACTTACCTAACTCTCCCTTCTCCCTCTCTACCCTCTCCACTTTTAAGACCGCCGTAGGGGAGGATTTTTTTTTCCACGAGTGACGTGGGCGGAGCTCTCGCACGTCTGGACCGAAAAACGCCGCAGAGCGTGTCGCCGACGCCGCCGCCGCCCGCGGTGGTGATCGTCGTTGGTGGCGTTGACGGCGGTGGTGGTGGCAGTGGGATAACAGTCGTCTCGCGGTATCTGACACGGTGTGCCCGCCCGTTGCAAGCGTACGTGTGTGGCACCTCTCCGTTCACGTGCTCCCTACGGAAAGTTCGTGAAAATCGACGCCGAGACATCGGAAACGTCGATCGTACATCATCCGTAGCTCACGATATTCTCCCGTCGAGGTTAGTTGACTGTAATTCCATGTGCCACGTCCATCCCTTCTCGCCGTAAGATTTTCATCTCGGCTTAACTCCACCATGTGGTCCGTCTCGCGACAAACACGCACGTTCGCGCGTCACAGTGGTTTTTCATTGACCATCTAGTCGCAGTCGAAAACATTGACAAAAAGTAGCCACGGTTGTGCATCATTGAATTCGTAGATTTTTTTTTTGTTTTTCATTCGTCAACCGTATATTTTCAAAACAAATTTCCTCTACCGGTGGAACCCAAATTCCGGTCACACGTCGTTGACACACATATGCGTGTACAGGTAAGTTTGTCGAACCGTACTTTTGTTCGTTAACGCCATAAAAGGTGCCGTACGTCGTTGAGTAATCGACATAATCGTTTTCCGGAGTCGAGTGCATAATAATGTCATCGAAAAAATCCTGCTGTTTCGGCGTAAAAAGATCACTCGTCATATTATCCAATATACGAGAACTAGTAAGCCGCATAATATAGCCGTATTAAAGTGCAGTGAACCGTTATCGAAAGAAAGGAAAAAATAAAACGCCTCGGTATCACGGTTCTAGAACGATGCATGTTAAGGGGTGACGCGTCGTTTCTAGATTAAACGCGTCTTGAAACTTATGCGCTGTGGTGGGTGGACGACCCAATAATACTATATATGTTTAAGTTGATGTACAGTTTTGGTTTTGTATCGTAATAACAGATACGAGCTTTATTAGAAAACGCGTTTAGAGATCCGAACTTTCTTCGTGTGTTATCAATTAAGTGGCTGTTTACATTCCAATATGAAACGTACACGTGTCAATAAACCGCTTGGAAATAATTAAAACGTATCCCGTTATAATTTAACAACGTGACTTCCTCGTGGCTTGTTGAACAATAATTTATAATTTATTATTGTAAAAATAAAATAAAATTGTAATGTTATAATACGAGTACAAATATAAATGAAATATCTAAAAAAAAAAAATAAGTGAAAACATGCAGAAAATTGCGAAATCTGTGGTAAAATTCTGTATTACAAATATAGTATTAATTATTTTTTTAAGCATTATTTTAATTTTATTAATCAATGTAAACTTCGTAGCTAATAAAAACAAAAATATTATGATTATTTTTAGCACGCGTCTTAAGAAATAATTTTATCAATCTAAACGTTTTTTAGATATATTTCTTTCATTTGGAACTTTGATCGAAGTCTTTAAACGAAGAAATATAAATACTCAATTTACTTATATTGGAATATAGTTATAAAAATTTTATTTCTAAATTTTGAGTTATGATAATTTTTTATAAATTAAAATAATATGATAAATTCAAAAAGTATATTTTGTGGATGGAGACTGAAATCTAAAACTTCATTCTTAATTTTGTAGAAAATATTATTATCAAGACTAATATTACAACATTCTAATTAAAATAAAAGTAACTTGACCACTCGATATATATATATAATATTTTTTTTCATCAACAAATTGATGTTGAGTTTTTTTATTATTGATCATTAGTCTTTACTAAGTCTTCGAAATGATATAACATCAAATTACATTCATAACTGTATTGAATAAACCATTAATAATATTTATTTATACTTAATTTTCTTTACAGAAGTAAATTATAAGGATTGTGGTTAGAATCATTTTATGAATACACTATATTTTTATTTACTTACCATCAATAATACGTTTTATAAATTATATTTTCATTACTAAACAAAATAGATTTACAATAACATAATCCACACAGTAGGTAATCACTAGTTTAATTAGTATAAGTAATGTAATTCAATTGTTAAATTTTCAATCACTGTTTATATAACTTTCAGTAAATTTTAATAAGTTTCAGTTTGATCTCATTCAGTAGTACTGAAGTTTAATATTAAAAAGTGTTAAAAATTTAAACAAATCTAATTACATTCATTTGTGAAAGATTTCTCTTAATTTTTGTATTTTGATTTCATTTGAAAGAAGTGCGTAAATTATTATAATTACTTAATGTGTAGGTAATGTCAAAATTGAAGCACAAAATGCAAATATTCAGATTGGTAATGATATTTATGTAAAATTGTATTTCCATTAAAATTAATTGTCATAAATTTTATCACAATATTATACAGATAAATAAAAACCAATATATGTACGAATTTTGTATACAACTTGCACGTGAATGAACTTTAATATTATTACAACTAAAACACACAACTTATTCTTAATTTGGCATGAACATTTGTTATGTTTTTTGTGTAAAATACAAATTCAAGATAAAAGTTTTAGTTACGTCAAAATAGAGTCACGTTTGGACACAGTATAAATTATCAGATACAGTAATAAAATCAGTTAAATAAACCAAAAATAAAGTTATAATGGGACTGAATATTCAGGTTTCTAATGGATTATTTGATGACTGTTAAATATAATAAAGGTCATTAAAAGTTTGTGAAATATAATACATATACGTGTAGGAACACGAGTATAAACGAATACATTTTAACTGATCAAAATGTTTAGGGTTTGAGATTTATTATACTAAAAATGTTCAAAGAATGTATAAAAGTATGCAACTCAAAAAAAAAAAAATGTTTAGTTACATTTGAATTAAATTATTTAATTATTTTTTAACTATCAATTATGAAAACTCTTTCTTTGGTGTACTATTTGAAATATGCAAACAAACATTCAATTAAAATTCTCAAAACGCTTACTAATATATGCGACAAAAATTAACTTAAAAAAAATTAACACAAAAGTAAATGGTATTTAAATTGAGCACTAATATTATGATATCAATATTTGTCAAAGATTATTACATTTTATAAAATAAAACTTTTCATAAATAAAACGATAAATTCAGATAATATAGGTAAGTCCAAATGTCATATTTCCTTTCACAATTTCACATAATAAATTTATTTTATTTAGACTACACTATAGCCAGAATAGTAAAACAACCAATGTAAAAATTCTCGAATCTTATATTATTGTAATATATAATAAAATAGGAATAATATATTTGGACAAAATATATTTATGTGCATTGTGCACACAACATAATTTTTATATAAATAATTTATTTTTGAACAAGTTACATGTTTCAATTGAAATATAACACAAATTTAAACAAAATGAAAACATTGCAAAAAAGAATTGTATGTAAAATAAAATAACTATAAGGTAAAACAGCACTATCCATCGCGAAAGTGCGCTGCAGTTCGTTTAATGCGCGTTCGATATCTACTAATGGTAAAAAAAAAGATCAACTATGGTCCAATAGCCGTACCATATTAAGATAAAGAGGGAATATGTACACTACTGGTCGGTTAAAAATTCTTTAACACTAATATATTGCACAGAAGAAGGATAACTGCTAAAAATTTTCTTTTAACGTTTTATAAAAATATATATAAAAATGTTAGATAATAACAATAATCTTTTTTTCTCAATATCAAAATGTTATTACAGATTATCAACAATATCCCATTAGGTAAACCATTATATGTATATATAACCTAATTTTTTTTATTAAATATTAAAACTTTAAAAATGAACTAGTAAAGATTCATAATTTGTTAAAGTTGTTTAAATAAGTTGTCCACATTAAATATATACAAGTAGAAAAATTAGATACAAATGTTGATTATTTTGAAAAAGTAATTAATTAATTTTTAAATATAATGAATTATTAAACACATTTTAAAAGTATTATAAATTAAAATAATATCTTGAGATATAAGTCTATTATTAAGGTTTTTATCTGCTAAGCAATTTTCATTCAGAATTAACTCAAAGACTAAAAAAAAATAAATACAAAAATTAAACAGAATATATTTTCATAACTAATATACACATAATAATATATAATATGTATAAATAATTACATAGATACTAAAAACCGATTAGTGGTCTATAAAATATTCCTTCAAGATTAATATCTAATAGTTATAATTATGTTAAATTTTGAAACAATAAAATAATTGTAATATGGGAATTAAATTATTTTGTACAAATCAATACCATCTTAAATCTTAATTCTGCAAAAAAAAATAAATATTTTTAATAAATTAACACAGTATGGTCGTTTTTTCAATTACAAACATATATTAACATGAAAATGTTTTAAAATATTTTTTAATTTAATATTTTGGTGAACATTTTTTCTACGAAACAATTTTTTTGAAAAAGGCTGTTTTTTGTTTGAATTGCAACATAGTGCCGACTTTTTGTACATTACTTGGCCCAAAAAAATTGTTTTTATTACGTTTTTCATTGTTCACTTAAAAGATTTTACTTTTTGAATGGCAACATGCGTTATCAATTTAATATCTCAAAACATTTTTGAGAATTTTAATGGATTAAAAATTAAAATCAAATATATTATTATTCAGATAGTTAATAATTTATAATTATTTTAAGGCATCATTAGAATTGTGTTCTTTAAGAGTATTTACGATAAAAATGTAGTTTTTTTATATTTATCTTAAATTAAATAAATACCTTTTTTTTAATATCAATTGTTGCATATTTTTGAACATTTTTAGTTCGTATATTATACACGATAAATAAATTAAATAAAAAAACAAAAATGTCATTCATAAAAATAAAAATATCTTGAGATATTTCAATGTTGCAATATCCTTAAAATATATTATATTTATTTAAAAAAAAAAAAAAATTGTTTAATATTTATATTAATTATATTGATATATTAAAAATAATAATAAAAAAACTTGTCATGTATACGATACACTTAGATAATATAGTAGGCTATGATGTCATGAATGAAAATTGTGATACTATTTTACGCAATAAATAATAGTAAAACAATGAACTTGTTTCATAAACTTATTTAATACATTGCAATTATCAAAAAATATTTACCTCCGGCATACCTATAAATTTAAAAATGTATATGTTCATCAAACTATATCGAAAAAAAAATAATAATTAATAAATATTTTGCTTAAATGTTGTAGTATTTTAATGGCTTAAAATTATTTATGCACGGTGTTTTCAAAAACTGTAATACATTTCAATATAACATAATGTTAACAATTTATAAAGTATTGATTGATATTAATAAATTAATAAAATAATAAAATAGTTTAAATTGTTTAAAATTATAATACTGTTTATATTGAAACGATAGTAATGCGTATATTTTTTTTTTTTGTAATTCCTAGAATTTAATTTGGAATTTTCAATCAATTTAATACTCTATCATCAATATTATTATTTTAGAAGTGAATACTCAAGGTAAAGTTTATGATTCATTACAACTGGCATAATTTTAACTACAATAGTCTTG